GTATTGAAGTTGAATTTTTATAATAACCGTATCAGCCAAATTTTCAAAGGCTACATAAGATATTCTAGATATTCTCAAAAAAAAGTAGATGTGGTTCGATTTGGTTCATTTAATTTTCCATATATCCTTTTTTCACTTCAAAATCAACTCTGTTGCCGAAACTCAAATAGACTACAGTACGTTAAGATTTACCGAAGGATGATTCTTTAAAAATACATATGGCATATGCGCGGAAACTTTTAATAAAACCTAAACTTCATCCTGCAAAATACGGGTTTGGCAAGTTAAGTGTTAAGTTAATGAGTAGTGAAACTACTCATGACAATCACATGAAACTTATTCTGGTGACAGTTTGTTATATTATTTATTAGCCTTCCAATTGGGAATTGTTGTTGGAGTTATTGGAAGTCTCCTGAAGATAACCAGAGTTTTTAAATCGAAAAATATTGATTTTCAGGAATTTATACCATTTTTACGAAAAGTTGTTTTTTCCCATATAAAATACCTGGAAAACTTTGAGCGCTTTGAGCGACCTCTAAATACTATTTGATTTCAAAATAAAAAACACGGGTATATTTTTCGATATAGAATAGTCCTAGGGGGTGAGAGCATTAAAATTACGAATTTGTCTTATTTTTTCCACCCTAATGTACATATTATATTGTGTATATGTATATAAATAGAATTCAGTTCCTTCATAATCCCAAAAGAAAAATATTAAACTATGGTTACTTCTTGCATATTTGTTCTCTCCTTGATTGTTTGATTTCGCCGCAATTAAAATAGCTCCTGGACGCTACTTAAATATAAAGATATGACTGTTATAAGTAATTACCAGATGTCAGAGCCATCGATTTAACTACGAAGTTACTACTGGCGCTTTGCTTTCCCGCTTCATGCTCTTGTTCTTATACCTTATCAACTTATCTCCATTACTTGATTTAATTACGAGTGGATGCATACAACTTTGACAACTTTAATGCAGACAAGCCGAAATAATTCCATAAAGGATAATTAATATGCCACTTTGATAAAAAAAGTTATGCTTATTAATATAACAAAATATCCTCAATTCGACAGGAAATATTTTTAATTAATTAAAAACTATTGAAATTAGCACATTGCTGCTAATACCACCGACGGTTCTTGTTTATCGTAGAGGAAGGATTCTCTACATGATTTCAGTTAGAAGTACTATTGTGCGACTAATCGCTTTCTCGTATTTAATCAACGAATATGAGCAGGAAATCATGCGCTATGTACGCGTAGGAATTTATGAGGGAAGCTTTAGAGTTCTGACGGTGTAATTTTCGTCGCTTATAACTCTGTGCTGTGTGATGGTTTTTCGATATTATCTACCTTAACCATTTCTGAAAATTATCGAAATCCGTTCACTATAACATATAACTCCCATACAACTAATTGTTCAGACATGTGGTTTTGCATTGTAATTCAAATATTTATTTCAAAATATTTGTAATTTTATTAGGTTGTACACTATTTCCACCTAAACTTGCGTTCTTTTCAATTCCATCCTGACACATTGTTGCATAATTTGACAGTTTCTATTGCACTGATTTTATAATAGTCTCTTGCGCCCCTAACCGTTTGGAACGAGACTAAACATAAATTAGCTACTTTAAGCAATTTGTAGTATTTAGTGGATTTAAATTATTTCTCTGCTCCCAAACCCAAAGTTGCGCTACTACAAAGGCACATTTGCAGAAATAGTGCTGCAGTATTTTTCTCATAGCTAATTTCAACTTTTATAACTCAATGAAAATTATCTAAATATAACAATTACGTAAAGTCGCTAGTATTCTATTCATATTGGCTTGGAGTCGCTTAATGAAGTCTTTAATTGCCTTGATTACTTTTGACTCAAGCGATTTGCGCTACAAACTGGCTGCGATGCTGCTACTTTACAGATAGTAGTTAGAAAATTCCAGCTATTGTTGTTCCCTTTGCGCTGAGTATTCCAAATTGTTTTTGGTGTTTCAACATACTCATCATTTTTGCTGCTATTCACTGCGTTGCCTTTGTTGTAACTTTCGCAAGTACGGCAAGTACTGGATTAGCAACCGTCAACAAGAAAAAAAAACAGCTTTTGGTCTTTTGTTATTGTTGCTCTCCATTGGTGTTATGTACTGCTGTAAATGTTGGTGCGTCTGTGCTGTGGCTGTTCATGCCAGCTCTTTTGCGGGTTATTCGCTTAATACCGGCACACTCGAGTTGCCGCTTAAATGTTGGGAAATTTTGACCCAATTTTCAACACATCTTTGCTTATTTTCTACTACAAAATCTTTCCTTTTCTAGTCTCACTTGCTGGTGCACAGATCAAGTTTTTTTTTCAACTTGACTTCTATTATCACATAAGTAGAAGTCTGTTTTCTTTGGGCGTTCCTTATGTCGTTGCTCTTTGTTGACGGCTGCTGTTATTTAATTAAATATTTTCACACCTAATTTATTTAATCGCCAGCGCAATTTCGTTGCCCGGAGCGTATGTGAAACAATAAGCAAGCGCTCAATTACAATACACATCGCGCTCGTGCTTCACAAGTGCATTAACTCTGAATTGTCTCAAAAGATATTTTTTCAGAGATCATGTTAATCGCATGGGTAACTTCAAAAATGTTCTACCAATTAGAAGAAAATTATGCTAAAAAGCTTATTAGCAGCCTAATTTTACGTCCCGTGAATAAATTGAGCACACAATATGAAATTTTAGTAATCCCAAATTAATGTACTTTTGAAGAGCGTATGCGATAAACTACACATACAGTGATGTCAAAAAATAGGGAACCATTTTGACCAGTTTTTGCAAATTTTACTTGCTTATTTAATGTTTAATTATACTGTTTAAAAATTTATTTTGTAACAGAAATCATGTAAATCCGCATTTAAACATTTTTTCATAAATTATAAAAGTTTAACAAAGTTTCATAAAAAACTCGAAATTTTTAACGAAAGTATTTAGAAAAAATGTGAGCAGTTTTATAGCTCACTAATATTTATTTTAACAAAGTGAAAGTTTTATGTTACTAAAATATTAAATTTTCAATGTCTTTTGCTGACAGTGCTGAGGAGATTTTTGAACATAATTCGTATGGAAGAAAATGCGTAACACTTTCAGCAAAGTAAATTATCCAAAATCAAAGCTATTTGTTAGAAACTTAAAACTTTCACTTTGAACCAAATTAAAACTTATTACTTTAAACGAGCAATTCTTGTATATTTTGTATTCATTTTAAGGTTATCTAGATAGGTGTTATCTTCGAAAATATTAGTATAAGGTTTCCACGCCTTCAAAATTAGTTAGTGCTTCGAAAATCCCCAACTCAGAATTTTTTTTTAGTAGGGTTGCCACCTATTTTCTATCGTATATTTATTTCATTTTTTGTTTAGAAAATTAAGATACAATACTACTCTTTATGGGTGCTGGAAGATAGCTCTTAAATAATGCCTATATTGCAAGTGTTGTCCCTTAAGATGTTAGTGCAAGGTTATCACTTATTTCCGATTCTACATAATTTAACTAAAATAACGTAATATGAAGAAATATTTCCGTTGAGGGTTGCCACGTTTTTTTTAACACCAATTTGTATCATACTAATTTCAAAGAGCATTTTGTTGCTCTCAAACTATGCACTCTTCAACCTGACGCTTTTCTTAATTTCCTAATTTTTGATGTCAAATATTTTTTAAATTTAATAGATTCATAAAGTAAATTTTTTTTTATTAGCTTCGAAAATATGCTTTTTGTAGAATTCTGAGGTACTTATTCGGTAAAAATATTGACAATAGTTTTGATAATTAACATTATTTTTTCAAAGTTTTTTATTTTCAATATGTTTTACTGAGGTACTTCTTAGGCTTAAATATATAAGCATTGATAATATTTTTTTCACCGACATAATAGGCGATATGTTAAGTGAAAAATTCATTTAACAATATTATATAAAAAAAATATTCTTAAACTAAAGCTATCCATATGACCATTATTTGATATCCAACCTTAAAAACTTTAAAAAGCGTATACATGCGGACAACCTGGTACTGGTCTATAAAGCTGCATACTCAAAAGAGTAAAAAGTTTGAATTTTAGCGAATTTTATTATCCTAAAATTTAAAGGGCTATATGCATACCAAAATTTTCTGAAAATTCCATAAAGATTAAAATTTTGGTGAATATTTATAATTTTTGTAAAAAGTTTGAAATGTAGATTTAATGTGTTTGTTATGTAATGAAAATTAAGAAACCTTAGAGCGCAGGCGGCGATTACTGTGACATTCGTCGCATCCTCTGCTGTCCGCAGCAGTAGTGGTAAAAGTATTGCCGCATGTACGTAATTACGCAACTCAGATACTACTGACTTGCAAAATTCGTGAATAAGCGTGGAAAGTGCAACTTCAGCGAAAGCTAAAAAGCTTTTTCATTACATTTTCACTTTATCGCGCTGCATTGGCCATGCAATTTGGCTTCTATGCGGCATTCAGTGCATTTCTTTGTTGTTAGGGTAGTGAGGGCACGTAATAAATAAAGTCATTGCGAAATTAAGTGCTACCGCAATTACATTAAAGTTTTCTCGCTGTTCGAGCCACAGTAAGTCACGCGACTGTTGCACGGCTGCGTCTACACTTTTTGAGGCTTCAATAGAAGTTTAATGAGTGCCGCCGCACAGCGAGCAGTCGATTGCCGCACAATAAATGGTGCGCGCCCTACAGCAGCACCTTCCTCTCCTCTGCGCTAAAGCGATGGTGCGACAGCTCTGCAAGCGACCCATTGATGATGCTGCAATGCAAAGAAAAGTGCATTTGAGGCGAAAAAAAACAGTTGCCATCTCTTCAAGCCTGCACTTCGGATTTTCGGGCGAATTTCCACTTAATCTTCTAAACTTTAAATTGAAATAGCAATTTTATGGCAATAATAATAAATGTCGTTGTGCTTTTTTATGGCGCCACTAAAATAGTTTTCTCCCCTTTTCTCTGTCTTTTTGCAGGACCACCTGGACCACCAGGGCCACCAGGCAAACGGGGGAAACGTGGCAAGAAGGGCGATCCTGGCGAAAAGGGTGATCCGGTAAGTAAACAAAAAATATGCACCCGCAATAAAATAATGGCAAAAAAAAAATATTTATGTTTTCTCACTGCAGGGCATAAATGGCGTCGATGGCGAGAAGGGTGCTGCGGGCAGACCGGGCGACAAAGGTCAAAAGGGTGATGTTGGCCATCCGGGCATTGATGTCTTTCAAACGGTGAAGGTAAGTGGCATGCGCAAGCGGCAGTGTAAATAATTAAACTTAATTTTTAATTCTTGTATGGCAAATAATTTTAAATTAATGAAAAATCAGCGCTTCTACTAAAAAGTACAGTGCCAATGAATTTTACCCTGAAAATATATGTACCTACATTATTTAAATTCTTTCTTGTTCTTGCATTGCCTTTTTCCTCAACAACTTTAATTAATAATAAATACATAAATAACTCGTTTTTAGGGTTTGAAACGATCGGTAACCACGTTACATGGCGGCACTTTAGGTTATGCTGAAATTGTTGCTGTCAAGGTATTACAACACTCACACTATAAACTTTTTTACAATAGTTGTTGCTAGTTTTTTATTTAGTTGCACTTTTTTTCACTCACAAATGGCTGGATTACGAACGGTTCACTAACCGCAGCCAATTTCAATTTGTAGTTAGTTTGAGGTAGCGTACTTGAATTTTTTTTCTCAACATTTTATTGCTCGCTTTTTATAGCGAATTTTAGTTTTACTTTATTTGTTGGTTAAACTTTTTTATTTTGTTTGATAATAACTTTTTATTGTAGTTTTTTCAATGTTTTTGTAGTTGTCGTTCAAAGCAATGTTATGAAGTACACATTAACTTACATACTTACATACATATCTAGTTATAGATGTAACATAAGTAAGTACCTACATATTTACTTAGTCCTTGGGTGTTTAACATATGTATAACTGTTAACCGCAAAGTATTTTACAGAGATTATCTCTGTCGGAATTGCTGTACTAAAAAACTAAATCTTTTTTGTTTTCGAATTAATTTTTTCACACGATTTTTTTTGTTTTGTTAAAAGGACACTGCCACACTACTTAACAATACGCACACACATATATATGGAAATATACTTGAATATATGTACATATGTATATGGCAAATCTTCAGAACTGTGCGATTCAACGACATGATTTCGAAATTTTTTTTTAATTGCTCGCAGGGCGATTTTTTCAAGTACCTTTTAAATTTTAAAAGTTTACAAAACAGCTCTAAATTGTTTGAATGAAATCCATTGAGAAAAAAATTAATCTTTGCTTAACTGATTTTCGTTAAATGCTGAACGAGTTATAATTAAATGATTAAAAGGGGTAAACATTTCGGAAATCAAAACTAAGCGACATTTCTATACAGGCACGTTGCAAGGGAGGCCCTATCGAAATTTTACAAATTCTACCAAATTTATGCTTCCATACAAAATCTTTGCTGCCACTATAGGAAAACTTCGCGTAAACCTCACGCGTAAGCCAAGACGAGTTCAGAAGTAGTACAAAGGAAAACAAAGCTAATCAGCAACACTGCTCATTGATGGTTCGAAACTTTTTTAGGATTACTTCGGGACCATCATCATCAGGTCTAGTTGGAGAATTCGTCGGGATCATTTCGACTTCAGATCGAGACTAGTTTAAGACTTTTTCGGGTGTAGTTCGGGACCATTTCGGGTCTATCTCGGAACATATACATATGTTTACACATCAAATTTTGTTAGCACCTGGTACTCGCGCCTTTTTTAAGTGCATTTTTGGTGCAATAAATATGATTATTTTATTGCCAGCAAGCTTGATACAGGATTCAAAAACTCCAGTGCAACTCAAAGATTTCATTGACTTTGTCCTGGTCTTCCGAAAATCTGATTAATGTCATATTGCAGCGATGAAAAGAGTTTCCTTTTCATATGGCCAAGCTTGTTGGACAAGTATATGAGGGAGCAACAAATATAGCTGCTAATGTAAATGCAGTTCAAACGAAGATCAAGGAAAAATATCCAAAAGAAAGATACATTCACTGTGCAAGTCATTATTTGAACCCGGCTTTGTCAAATATTACATATGTATATCATTTCCGTCTACGTGTTCCGCCTGACTATTCCAATAGATTTTTCAAGGGAATTTTTGGATCTGCATACCAGTGTTCTTTTAAGATTCATTTGAAGATGTACTCTATACTCCAAGGGTCTTATTAGAAAATGCTAATCCACAGGCTTCATCTGCGGAAGAATATCACTGGGTTACTGTATTTGTTCGGTGCATCGACAACGATTATCTTAAAGTTGTTGGAGTACTGCGATGGACATTTTTGTGTGCCACGAAACATCTTCTAGATAGTATATAGTATTTCAGCTACCCTCCCAGCTATAAATCCAAGCGTGGAAAATTCGTTTCTTTACCATGAAAAGTATAAAAACTACTACGTAGTGTTATGGGTTCGCTTATCATGGTTTTGGTTAATTGACATGTTTTTTGATCCGCAAGAAGTTGTTGACCACTTGTCGAAAATAAATTAGAGAAACTTGATCCTTCTCCAAATGACCACTTTAGTAATTACATATAGTACATAACACTATCTTTTATTATTGTTTAATAACAATTGAGAAGCCTTGAGAAATTGAATCCTGTAATTTGAGAATTATGTTAATAATTAATTATTCATGAGTAAAAATAAATCATTTAAATTCTTCCGTTACATTTCGCATGCTTAAAATTATTTTGAAACAACTTGGTTTTATAGGGTTTTTGTTGAAGAATAAACCATATATTTATAAAAAAAAACTATTAAAATTAAATTGTCAAAATGTGTCAATATAAGGGTGTCATATACAGCTATGGTCAAAGATTTAGCATCAACATTCAAAAGGATATTGTTTCCAATTTAAAGTTAGTTATTTAATTTTTATAAATTTCATTTAAACTATAATTCAATCTTTAACAAAACAAATAACAAAATGACAAATTAATAAACAAAAATTTCAAATTTGCACAAATTTCAAAAAAACAATTTGTCAAAGTTCAAAAAATGTCATCAAAATTCCAAACATTTAATCAGATTTTTCAAAAATTAGTGAAACTTCAAAAAATGCTAATCAAAATTTTTTATCAGAATTTTAAAAACTTGCACCTATTTCACAAAAATTAGTCAAACTTCAAAAAATTGTCATCAAAATTTCAAACTTTTTGATCAGAGTTTTTAGAAAATTTTTCTCTTGAGAGCCGCAAACCAATTAAGACATTTTGACAGAAGAAAATTTGTTTTCCATTTCTTCTGCGTAATTTTATTTAACTTTTTTCTTTACAGCTGAAAACAGCCCCTTATTGCATGGACAAAACCTATTTAGAAGAATTGAGTTTCTGGTCTTGAAGCCCAAAGTAGGCCATATTCAAGTTGTTAGCTGATTTCAAATCAGGTCCCGAATCGACTGTTTGAATTGAGATGGAAAGCACATACATAAGTGCAGTATATTTAGGATCAAAAACCTCTTTCATTTGCAAATTTCTCAAAGTCAAACAATCTTAAAGCTGCTCGTACCGCTTAGAATTTGTTGCTTTTTCAATTTTTCTTAATAAACATAATAGTGGTACAAACCTCTAAACAATATTAAAAATAAAATCTGAAAAAAAATGTCATACCATATGAGAAAAATCTTTAAGGCAGATAAAGATATGTTATCAAAATTAATTTGATTTGCGTAATGTTTAAAATGCTTTTTTGTGGATTAAGTAGAAAAAATCTTAGTAATTTTTTTTAAGTCTATCTAACGGTCCTAATTTTTTTACATACGACTGTTTATTAATTTCATGCAACTCGCTTTTAGCACTACTATTTAAAGTCCACTTGCTTATGCATACATTTACATATGTACATACATTTGCGCTTAAGCGAATATTTATAAACGTTTTCTCACCAGTTTCCCGCGCCTACATCAATGCGCTTTGTCTCAATTCTTCACCCTTTTATGGCCATTTGTCGAGTCTTTATGTTATCTTGAATATAAAAAAATGAAGGTGCAGAGTTTTAGTATGCAATATGTGTATATTTATGTGTCTGGACAAGATAAATGATGGCGACGATACAATTGTGATGTGCTGTCACTGCACTATGGATAAAACTATAAATTTTTTGTCCAAAATCATTATAAGAGCAAAAAGGCTGGGACAAGTTGGTTTTTCATATTTACATATATCTATATGTATATACATACATACATATATTTAATTATTAAAAGTTTCTAAAACCAGGCTATTAAGTACATACGAATACCAAGAGGGTACCGCTAGTGAAATATTGAAAAAAGAGCATATAGATAGGTATTGCCTAAAGAATCATACATAGATTATTTTCAGTACAAAGTTCCGAAATACTTCCTGTAGCAAAATGTGATCTTCCCAATTCTCTGACGTCAACGAAGTTAGTAAATTTCTTAGATAATATAAAGCGGTTTGTTTATTATCCGGAAAGAACTTTTATTTCGGAACAATATTCGCAACAACCCTGGTTTAGAATGATACGCTAGCTAGCAAATCGTAAAATGTCTAGTCTTCTTAGAAGCAGATGTTATTGGCTTTACCAAAGTGTCGAATCCCACACTTTTTCCTAATGACAACAACATTTTTTACAACAGTTTTTTTTGCTATCCTGAAAAATACCCATATCCACATTCGATAGTTTGACATTTTGTTAAATCTTTCGAATTTCTAAACACATTTGTACCAATATGCTGCATAGTGCATGCAATCCAACAGTAAACGTAAATACATATTTGACTGTCTTTTCCGCAGTTTTTGAACATATGGCATCATCTGCAAGTCAATGTTATGAAATCTTTCAGGCGGAAAATTTTTACACATATGTTGCAAATGGCCAAAAGTAAAGTGCGTGCTTACAAAGTTTTTAAGACATACCTACGTAGGATATGTTCTCGAATAAACATGCATAAGTATGTTGGCAAATCCATATGTACAAATGCATGAGTGCGTATGTATGAACATGAACGCAAGGCTTTTCAGCATAAAGATTCTGCCTTTTTTCTTTTGAAGCTAGGACTTTATACATTCTAGTGATGTGCCAAGTACCAAGTATTTAAACAACCGGTTCTGTCGAGACTGGTCCAAGGATAACCGGATATTTAGACAGATTCCGGGTCTCAAAAGAGTTGTAACAGGATTAGACTCTATCGAAATAGCTAAACAAAAGATTACATATTTATGTATATAAATTAAAAAAATCAAATTCTATATACATATTTTTGTTATACTTTTTATTTATATAAGCAAATAAATGTTTAAGTATGTATGTTATGCGAAGCTGAGTAGAGAGTGTGTTGTCAGATTCGCAGTCCTTCAAAGTTTTTTCTGAGGGCTCTAAAATTTGAGGACTTATACTACAGTAAATTTCGGTACTCATAATTTTCTGCATTTGTTTGCTTATATTCTTAAGCTATTTTTACAAATGAAAAAATACAAAATACTAGTAAAAGCGAGTTTTTACCAAATAATATTCGATCATACTTACCGATTTTTGATAATGCGAACACTCGAAATCCTCTTTGAAGTATGTATCTCAAACTTCGACTTTAAATAGCGGAAGAAGGCAGACATTGGCGAACAGAAGTTTATAGACAAGTATTCAAAATATGTACATATATCCATTAACAAATGTTGCCCGACAAGGCTCAATTGAAACTACTCGAAGTAACGCTACTGTAGAAAGAAGTTCTTCAACCCTTGGCCGGTTAAAACCATGCAGTACCATGTTGACAGGTGTAGCACTTTTACATATACATTTGGATATTGAAATTGGCACTGAAATGATAACAGAAAAATTTCCAAAAAACCTAAAGCACAAAATTGAGTTTGCACTTTAAATTAGTATATTTAATCGAAGTTCTGAGTTCTTTTTCAAAATCATTCCATCCATCCATATATATTTCGGTTTTACTGAGACCATTTTCGGTTCCATTTGTAGAGTTTCTTGGAGTCGCTCTTCGGTTCTGCTGAAACTGTTTTTCGAGTCTCTTGGAATCGAGTTTCAGTTCCCTTAGACCAGTTTTTCGATTCTTGTAAAGCGCGGACCGTTAGGTTAATTAAAGGACCCGGTTCTTCGAATCCGGTTCCGCGGTTCTGTGAATCACTAATACATACACACGATATTTTGTTCAACTAAAAGGAAAATCGCAAAAGTTGTATTTTAAGAAACGTTTAGGAAATTCAAGCGTTTATTTCTAGCAAAGAAAATTGGAAAAAAATATTAAAAATCAAATACAGTGGTGTTAATCTTAAAGAAATACTCAGTAGCGTCTATTGGTTTCTTACATTTATATAAAATTTGTTTTAATAAATTATATTCAATTGGAAATAATTTGCNCATTTATATAAAATTTGTTTTAATAAATTATATTCAATTGGAAATAATTTATGTGTGATTTATATTTACAATATTTTTTGCTACCCTATGCTTTTAAATTAACTTACTTTAAAAAAAAAAAATTATCATTTTCTTAGTTTTTCATAATCTTTTGTTTTTGCTTTTATTATTTGTAAGGGTTTACAAGAAGCCGGTGTAAATGTGTCGGCCGCCACTGTCTTACAGCTGAAGGTAAGTGCTGGTAACACTTTCACATCCTTGCACACAGATAATCACGACAAATCCATTACTTAAATATGTACAAACGCAAGCGTACAAGTAAATGCATTATTTAATAGGCTGGAAAACGTATGCAGTTTTGAATATGCATATTCTTATACATAAGTAAACGTATACGCATACATATACACATACTACAAGTACATATATGCACTCTTAGGTGTGAATATTATTATGCCATTTGGTCACTTGCAAACTTTATTATGCACTCTCAAAATAAGAAATAAGAACATTTCATCAAAATTCGTTTGAAATGCAAAACACTTACAAAAAAATAAACATATATGCATATACATACAAATGTATGTAAGTAAATAGATGTGTGAATAAATGTGTGTGTATATTTTAAATTAATGGGTTTTATTTTCAATATTGTAGTTGGGTTCTAAATACATAACTGCTTAAATTTCTTGCTTTAATTTTAAATTTGATTGCATGTGCATGCGTTGCAAGTGTTTTTCTTTAATGTCACGCACATTTCCACATTAAATAGTATTTCGACAAATGTGCGTTTAGAAGATTTTTCCATTTATTGTGTAAACCATTCATACTAATTCTTTTCTCTTTCTTACTACTATTATCAGGGTGAACCTGGCGAACCAGGTCCACCTGGACCACCCGGACCACCTGGTGAGCCAGGCGCACCTGGCTTGAATGGCGGACTTGGTCCTGCTGGCGAAACTGGACCACCAGGATCTGCTGGACCACCTGGCGAACCTGGACCGATTGGGCCACCTGGCGCGCCGGGCATAATAGGACCTAAGGTGAGTGTACATACAGTCTTGTGAAAAATAAAAGGCACATGAGACTTTGATTAGTTTCGGCTATTTTTCTTTATTTTGTTCAACAATTTTTATGAGCTTGAGGCCGTTTTTAGTGAAAACTTGTTTTGTTTAATATTTATTGTCGGTAGGTTAATGGTTTCAACAATATTTATGTCCACTTTATAAAGGAACACGGGTTAGGAAAACGTGAAAGCACTCACAACGGCTAACTAAATATGTCTCCGAGCGGAAGAACGTATCTACTTTTTGATATACGTGCTTCAAACTTAACCAAACTTTCAGAGATGCAGTCACAATACCGCAGGTTTTTGTTTTGCAATTTTACTTACTAGATCGCGTATTATTAAACTAAGTCACCAGATAATTGAATTACATAAAATTTTCTTTAAAAAAAATTTTTATCAATATAAATAGCTAACGAAAACTATCTTTTACTTTTTTTTGCGAATTCCATTAAAGTTCTTTGTAACAAAATAGTGCTGTAAAGCGTGAACACACCAAAACTGGGACACTTAGAAATTACTACCAGAAACAAACTAGAAGGCTTTGAAATTATTTTTTTTGTATTATATAACTTGGAAGTTTAGATGTTATGAAAATGTTAAAATATTAGTTATTATTTGCTCCATATGCAAGTGATCGGTATTTTCATCGCACACGCGCCATCATGTTCTGCACGACTGCATCATCGACATTACGCGGTGCGCACAACTACTTTGTTTTGCACTGTTCAACAATTTTCACTCTTTCACCTGTTTTCTTCAAGATTCCTTTGACAATTGACCAATATTCCCCAATAGGACGTGGCTCTGGGCTATTGGGTGGATTGCAGTCGTGAGGTACAAAATTGATGTTATTTGCATTATACCACGGCAATGTGTCCTTGGCATAGTGGCAGGTTGCCATGCCCGCCTAGAACGATGGCCTACTCCTTATCTGTTGATAAATGACAGAAGACACCTTTTGAGGCACTCATCCCGATAAACTTGATCATTCATTGTCCCGAATGGGAAAAAGGGCTGCTCTTACGGCCACAGGATCAAATAGCTTGCCAAACCATGTGGTTTTTTGGAAATTCAGACTTCATTTTCAGCTTACAACCTTCAGGGGCATCTTGACGACTTGCACCAGTATAAAAATCTTGACCTACAATATATTTTGAATTTTTATAGCAGTAGGTTTCGTAGTCCATAACAATGCAGTTGTATTTTTTAATTTAGAATTCATACAACTTCCGAATGCGCGATTTCGCTGTAACATTCTACTTTGCGCCTCGGTATGGCGCTGTTTGAGCTGTAGAACATCTCAATGAAGCCGTCCCCTTTACCTTTTGTACGAAAAACTGCGATCTCCTTGCGGATTTTGCAACATAACGCGACAAAATCTTCGGATCTCGCGAAAAC